CAGCCAAATTCGTGAAACGGCCGCGGCTGGTTTGATGTTTGAGCGAGGTGTACTTTTCAGAGATAAAATTATTTTCCCAGAAACACAGACAGGGGAGTGTTAATTCAAAATAATCATATGTTGTCATTGACTTTTTGAATCCAGATGACAAAACAGAATTATGTGCAAAATTTCAAACATTTTGAAAAAACTAAATTTTATTAGGCCCATGTAAAACTTTGACATAGTGTGTAGGGGGCGCTAATGAGCCAATTGAAATATTTCCACGTTCAAATGACCTAGACCCTGGAGCTGAACGATGGATAAAAATTTGGTGCAAATCCGGTTTGGTTTGTGCAAACGGGAGCAAATTTACTTTTGTCAAAAATTGGAAAAAAAATGTCACATTTTGCCGCTCCGCTGCTCGGACAACGTTTAACTGATCCAAATTCTATATTCAATAATAGATGGGACATGGGTTTAGACCATGTGGAGCGATTTTGAGACAAATCGGTGAAACGGCCGAGGAGGAGATAATTTCCAGCCGACATGTGTGAAAAAGATCAATTTTCATTTTTCCATTTCCCATTGAAATTAATGAGCTCCCTGTTTGTTTTTTAGTCCCACCAAAAAAATTAATTTTTCGCCGGTTCTGAATTTTGGGCAAAATTTCACAACTTTTCATTGATGTTCAGGGGTTCAAATTAAGGTTCAAACCGCAGAAGAAAAAAGAAATAAATAAACCAAACCAAACCAAGGATTTTTTTTTGTAAATCTTCGAGCAAAAACAATATAGGTTTCCATAGTAACCTATAATACAAATGATACGTCGTTTTAAAGCGAACGACCAGACGAACGCAACAATTGGGTTCTCGGTGATTGACGAGCGCGTTAGCCTCACCTCGCCATCATGAGGTCACCCACCCCCCCCCATGTTTTATCAGTGTCTGGGCACGCGCCGTCGGGCTTGGGGGACGAATGTCCGGGCTAAGACAGTTGAAAGAACCCCCCTTTAATAGGACCTCAATCATTTCACTGTGCACTACAGCAGGAGCAAAGCCATTTGCCGGATTTATCAGTGTCTGGGCACGTGCCGTCGCGTGCAGGTCACAATCTCCGGGCGCAGGTCACAATCTCCTTGTGACCTGCGCTTTGCCCAGGCATTACTTGTTGGAAAAGCAATAGGCCCTTACCCCGGTTGGGGCTCGGGCCTAATAATAATGCATCGGTTTTATGTAGCGCTTATTTGGACACTCAAAGGCGCTTTACATGTCATTATTCTTTCTCTCCAAACACGGTGGTGATAAACTACTACTGTAGCCAGAGCTGCAACCAGTCTGTACCATCGGCCGCTCCGACCGCCACCAACCATTTACACACACACCAGACTCATTCTAGGCAATGGGGGTGAAGTGTCTTGCCTAAGGACACAACGGTAGTTTGGCACTTTACAGCCGCAGCCACCCCACTGTGGCTGGTGTTCCCAGAGCTTAAGTGTCTTGCCAAGGACACAACGACAGCAGACATCAGTAGGAGTCGATGGTGAAGGTCGGGCTCGAACCCACGACCCTCTGGCTCAAAGGTCAATGCTCTACAACTGAGCTACTGTCGAGTAAAGCAGACATGGTTTAAAACTGTCACAAGGAGGATCCAAAACAAACATCTGAAAACTCACCAGCACACAGAGTATAGCACCTTTGCTAGCACCGGAGTATAGTACCTTTGCTAACACCGGAGTATAATACCTTTACTAGCACCGGAGTATAGCACCTTTGCTAGCACCAGAGTATAGCACCTATGCTAGCACCAGAGTATAGAATCAGAATCATTTTTATTGCCACATAAGTAACAGGAAGTCACAGACTTGGAAATTGCTTTGGCTCAGTGCAACAGTCAGAAAGAGATAATAAAAAATAAAGAATAAAAAACACTTCTAAGGAATACATTTAAATTTGAAATAGAGTTACAGTTACTATTTACTATATACAAGTGCACATGGTGCACACAATGTAAGGTGACAGCAGTACAGTGAAGTAAAGTGACGTATGATGGGCAGTAAAGTGACTTTATAAAGGGCAGGGGGACAGGTTAAGAAGTGTTCAAGAGTTCAACAGCAGAGGGGAAGAAACTGTTCTTGTGGCGGGAGGTTCTAGTCCTGATGGACCGCAGCCTCCTGCCTGAGGGGAGTGGTTGGAATAGTCCATGTGCAGGGTGAGAGGGGTCAGCTGTGATATGACCAGCCTGGCCTCGAGCTCGGGCGACGTACAGGTCCTGCAGCGATGGAAGGCTGCGGCCGATCACTTCCTCTGCAGAGCGCACAATGCGCTGTAGTCTCTGTTTGTCCCTGACTGTGGCTCCAGCGAACCACACGGTGACGGAGGAGGTGAGGATGGACTCGATGATGGCCGTGTAGAACTGCACCAACATCTGTGCAGGCAGCCTGGCTTTCCTGAGCTGCCGCAGGAAGTACATCCTCTGCTGGGCCTTCTTGATGAGGGAGCTGATGGTCGGCTCCCACTTAAGGTCCTGGGTGATGGTGGTGCCCAGGAAACGGAAGGACTCCACAGAGGTGATGGGGGAGTCCATCACGGAGGGTGGGGGTGGGGGGACAGTGCTCTTCCTGAAGTCCACAATCATCTCCACTGTCTTCTGGGCGTTCAGCTCCAGGTTGTTACCACTGCACCAGGACACCAGCCGGTCCACCTCCCTCCTGTAGGCGGGCTCATCGTTGTTGGAGATGAATCCAATGAGGGTGGTGTCGTCCGCGAACTTGATCAGCTTCACGGAGTCGTGGCTGGAGGTGCAGTGGTTGGTGTACAGGGAGAAGAGCAGGGGAGAAAGAACACAGCCCTGTGGGGCTCCTGTATTTATAATCCGAGAGTCCGAGACATTCTTCCCCAGACTCACTCACTGCTTCCTGTCCGTCAGGAAGTCAGTGATCCACCTGCAGGTGGAATCGGGCACGTTGAGCTGGGAGAGCTTGTCCTCGGGCAGGGATGGCAGGATTGTGTTGAAGGCAGAGCTGAAGTCCACGAACAGGACCCTGGCGTAGGTCCCCGGGGAGTCCAGGTGCTGTAGGATGTGGTGGAGGGCCAGGTTAATGGCGTCGTCTACAGTTCTGTTGGCTCTGTAGGCGAACTGCAGGGGGTCCAAGAGGGGGGAGGTGAGGTACTTGAGATGGGAGAGGACCAGGCGTTCAAATGACTTCATGACGACAGACGTAAGTGCTACAGGTTTGTAGTCATTGAGTCCTGTGATCCTGGGCTTCTTCGGGACGGGGACAATGATGGAGGATTTGAAGCAGGCTGGGACATGGCAGGACTGCAGAGAGGTGTTGAAAATGTCAGTGAACACAGGAGTAAGCTCACTGGCGCAGTGTCTCAGAGTGGCCGGAGACACGTGGTCCGGGCCAGGAGCTTTGCGGGGGTGCAGCCTCAAGAAGAGTTGTTGAATATCTTTAGAGGCTATTGTCAGGCTGGGGGCAGGGCTGATGGGTGGGTCGTTAGAGTAGTGGGGGGTGGGGGAGGGAGAGGTGTCAGGGGCAGCATCAAAGCGACTGAAAAAAAAGTTCAGGTCGTCAGCTAGCTTGTGGTCGTCAGCACAGGGGGGGGGCCTTGGGCTTGTAGTTGGTGATCTCCCGTAGGCCCCTCCAGACAGAAGCAGTATCGTTGTTTCCAAACTGCTCCTGTAGTCGTTCTCTGTGCCGGGACTTGGCTGCTTTCAGTTCGTCCCTGAACTGATATTTAGCTGCTTTGTAGCCGCTGCGGTCCCCCTCCCTGAAAGCAGACTCCTCTGCTTTCCTGAGCACCCATGCTAGCACCGGAGTATAGCACCTATGCTAGTACCGGGGCTATCTCCATGTTCTATGTGTAGGAGTGGAAAATGACAGTGGCTCTTAGTGTTGAAAACAAAATGTTTAATTGTTAAAGCATTTTCTTATTGATGAAATGATAAATAACACATTTTTAATTTCAGTTTTATGAATTCCCAGAGATAACACAATGCAGTAATATTTACAGCACTCGTACTCGTATCGGTATCGGCAAGTACTCACATTAAGGTACTCGTATCGGTTTTGAAAAAAGCAGTATTGGTGCATCCTTATTAAACTTCACATTCTGTAATATCAAACACCAACTAAAAGAAAACGATCATTTTAAAACACTAAAATTAACACGGGTGATGCTAAACCTTTCTTCTTCTGTCGTAACCGGTGAGAAAGAGGTTTTGTTGTCTTCAAAAACCAAAACAGGCCTAAATTCCTGATCAGTTTCTCCATTATCTCTGTCGGATCCCATTTCTGCGGCACAAAAGCAAAGCAGCAAATGGAAAAGAAAACCATTTTGAACGTCTGCAAATAACGTCTGTAATTTCACTCTTTTCTACGTCTTCATCACTCACACTTGTACATACTTTATACTTTTTTAGACAAGTTTGTGGAGAGAAACTTGTGAGGACATTCTTAAAGAAGAAAATGTATAAGTGTGGCCAAAAGTGGTACTGCAGCCTCTCCCACTCTCCCTGACTCAGGTTGCCAGATATGCAGTCGAATCCAGCTGTGACCATAACAGCTGAATAGACAAGAGTTTTGTCAACAACAACCTTTTTCACAAAGATAGAAATCCTGGTTTTATTCCTTGTTTTGTCGTTACTGATTTGAGAATCATAACGAGACCTTTTTTAGTTCTGCGCCACATGGTACTTTACCAGTGAGATTAGCTCCACTCGGTGAGTTCTGGTGCCCGGATCACAGACTTTCTGATTGTTGAAACAGTGGAGGGCAGGACATCAAAATGAAAACAATAATTCTCTGGTCTCTGGTCTCTGGTCTGGTCTGGTCTGCTCTGGTCTCTGGTCTGGTCTGGTCTTCTCACCTGTGGTGCTGCTGTGAGTCGGCCTTGGCCTCGCTCTTCTTCACGGTGCTCTGGTCTGGTTTCTGGTCTGGTTTCTGGTCTGGTCTCTGGTCTGGTCTCTGGTCTGGTCTCTGGTCTGGGCTCTGGTCTGGTCTCTGGTCTTCTCACCTGACTGGTGCTGCTGTGAGTCGGTCTTGGTCTCGCTCTTCTTCACGGTGCTGATGATGTGCAGGTCCTGGAACAGTGCGATGCCCCCTGGTGCCCGGAGGTCAGAGGCGGGCCAGCTCAGACGCTCCACTCCGGTGATGGTGATCCGCGGCTCGCTTGGCTGCTGGACCATCACCACCGCGTCGATGTCTGGGATGGAGATACACGTGTCCTCTCCAAAGCACCTGCAACAGAGGGCATCATGGGAAACGTAGGAGGAGTCTATAGTTTAGCTACTGGTTAAATATAATAATAATAATAACAATAATAATAATAATGCATTGGTTTTTAAACAGAGTTTTTTGGACCCTTCACATGTCATTATTCTTTCTACTACTATTGTATTGTAAGTGTTATTATGACAGATTAGGGCCCTTTAATGGTGACAGATTAGGGCCCTTTAATGATGACAGATTAGGGCCCTTTGATGGTGACAGATTAGGGCCCTTTAATGGTGACAGATTAGGGCTCTTTAATGATGACAGATTAGGGCCCTTTAAAAAAATCTTACATATTGCTTTTTTAAAACTAGTAAAATAATTTTATGACAATCTAAATTCAAGCAACAAAAACTTGCCAATAAAAATCAAGCATCATTTGTTATTTTTAGTAAATTAATTGTGACCAAGATTTTACTCTGAAAAAAGGAAAATCTTCACATTTCTTCAGCATTCTTCAATGTTCAGCATTTGTGATGCTGTATATTTAGAAAACATTTCTCAAAAATTAATAGTAAAGTAAATAACACTTGAAATTTATGTTTTAAAACTAGAATCATGTTTTTTTTAAGTCCTATTTTCTTTTTCTATTTCCAGGTCATTTTTTGTGTTTTAAACAGTATTTCACTTCATATATTTTGTTCTCATTTTTCCCAGTGTAACTAATCGTCTGCAGATTAGCCGTCCTTCCAAACGAGACACATTAAGATCAGGACAGAGAGGTGCAATCTCCCGCCGCTTCTTTACGAGATCCAGACCGGAGCTGGACCAAAGAGGAGGCGATAACCATCTCCTCTGCATGAGTCTGCGCCGGTGTTAATGAGACTGTTTTTGACCGTGTCCCGACATGGCTCCGAGGTGCGTTGTGCAACTGTTTTGACGGGGTCCTTCTATACCCACGCTCGTTGCCATGGATACGCCCGTTGCTTTTTCTCGGAATGTCTCTCCGTACGGTGTAAAAACTATTATCTCTGAAGAAAAGGCTGTGTTTGGAGAAAGAGAACATGCAATTGTAAAGGTTCTTATAGTCCACGTGTCTCTCAAGGTGCTTAACAGAGAGTGCAGTGGAGTTTGCATGTTCTCCCTGTGGAATTTGCAGTTTTGTGTTACCAGTTACAGAGCAGTGGGAATGAGGACAATATACACTGCAAAAAATGATATAATAAGGGATAATAGTGGCATGAATTTTGTGTTTGAATATTATTAATATTATTTTTTGTTTTATCTTAATTTGAGTACATAATTTGGAACAGTCTTCCTAAGAATGTGAGACAGGCGACTTCTGTGGCAGTTTTTAATTCTAGGTTAAAGGTTCTGTTTATCTGTGCATACAACTGAATGATTTTATTTTTAGGTGCACTATGGCTATTTATTATTTTAATACCATTTGTGATTTTAATGTTTTAATGTTTTAAATTAATTGTTAAATTTTTTCTTGTGATCTCATTGTGTGTGTTAATGTCCTTTGGGATAATTGTATTTTTAATGTTTATGTAGATTTGAATGTCTACTATATATGCCTGATGTGATGTAGGTGTGAGGCGCTTTGTGTTGCCGTGTGTAGGAAAGGCACTGTACAAATGATAAGATTTGCCGATGGGACAAAGACATTTTGTTATTTTCAGTTTCACAACCATAGGCTGTAACCGCTAACATGTTGAAACCAAACCAAGACCGTGAGAACAATCATGTTTCCATGGGTTTTGACTGGAGACGCGTTGCTGTGCGCACAAAATTAGAAATCCATTCTAAGTTAGGCGCAACCTCGTGTCATACGTCCGTCATACGTCCGTCATACGTCCGTGATACGTCCGCCATACGTCCGCCATACGCGCGTAAAAGACTAGTGTAAATATCACCGTTGGTTAAAGAAGCTATACCCAATTTTTGTTTTATGAGTTCATAAAAATGCGTATTACTACATATAAGTTGTACTATAATCCGTAATTTTATGTAAAACTTGAGCTCATTCCTCCTCCTGCTCTCCTCGAGGTCAGACGTGTCTCTTGCCTGCTCCTGCTCTGCTTGCCCTGACTGTCTTTTTTTCCTAGAGTTCTGCCTGTGTACAACTTAAAAATGATGGAATTAATCAACTGGTCCCTCAACGCAATTGATACTATTTTTTCATCACGTAAAGGCGGTTCTGGAGATGCCGTTTGCCGGATGGTACGGCGGCTGCTGGGTACGTTTTTGACAACTGGCAAAAGTGGCACCCCGTTTGTCTGTCGGGACTGTCCATCGAGGACATTGAGGATATATACATTTTTTGATTTATGGTAGCAGGGTTCCTCCTGATTGGATTTGGAGTTGGCTTGATCTACCGCAAAGTTGGAGGGATGTCCACTCAGAAGATTTACGAGCGGCTGTCCGCGGAAAACAAGGAGAGTTTCCGCGAGTTGGTCAGAGTCGTGGTCGAGGGCACAGTGGGGACACAACGGGGTGTGAGTCGGATCGAACATTCCCTTAACGACCTGGGAGTGAGATCTTTGGATGGACTTAAACGCTTGGAAGGATTGATTGAAGGACTTGGGCCTCACGGTGGAACCTCGTACTGACGTGGTCAACTCCGGATAACGGTGAACGGAGGGTCCAGTTCCAGTATAATTTGGACATATTGGCTTTAGTTTACACTGCCTTTCATTGAACAGTAAGTAAGTAAGTAAGTAAGTAATGTTTATTTATATACCGCCTTTCACAGACAAGGGTCACAAAGCGGTTTACAATTGTTATTATTTTTTTGGGCATTTGTCCTCTCACTCCACACAGAGATGGGAGCGGGGTCGCCAGTACAGGAGGCGCATGCACAGTCCTATTGTACATATTTTTAGTGGTAGGGGAAACCGGAGTACCCGGAGGAAACCTACGCAGACACGGGGAGAACATGCAAACTCCACTCAGAAAGGCCCTGGTCCGACCGGGATTCGAACCCAGGACCTTCTTGCTGAGAGGCGAGAGTGCTATCCACTCAGCCACCGTGCCGCCCGCACAGCTAAAGTGCTTATACAAATTTCCCACAAGGCATGTGTTGTTTTGTCTCCAATGTTTGCAGGCACCTGCGCTATCTTTGTCCTTCACATTCCACCACCGCACCGGCCACTCAAGGCCGACACTGGACTCTATCTAACTCAGACTCACAACCCATAACACCAGTTACAGTCCCCCCCCCCCTTCTACATGTCTGCCTCCCCCTCTTTTCAGTCTATGGTGGTCTTCCCCTCCACCTCCCCCACCCACACTCCCCTCTGACGCGCTATATTGGACGAGGCGGGCCAGAGTGATGACTTCCCATTAAAAAGATCCGCATGTTTCCCACATGTACCGTGTCTCTCCCATGTTTGTTGAAATATGTGTCTGTTTGCTCTCTGCTGTTGAATAACTGTCATAAGGAGCGCGGAAAATTAGAGTACGCGGCCGGCCTTGATGTTTATTCATCGAACTGAATTTCTCCATCTGTGTGAGATAATAAAGGATTGATTGATTGATTGATTGATTGATTCAGTTGTGTATGAATTCAGGGCGTAAAAAGTGCGAGAGGAGAGACTTAGCGCGACGCTCGCTCTCCCCCAATCACAGAACGAGGCTGCGTCCTCTAGCCTCTACAGCGCTGCTAAACACAGTAGCATGTTAGCATAAGTGGCTATAACTCCTCTGGATGTAACTGCAGACACAGCAAAACAGCCCAAACGACACAACAGTGAGGAAGAGAAGAGGGAACTAAAGCCAAAAAATGATCAAAGAAGAAGTCAAGCCCGGGTGAACATAGCTAGCTTACATCGTTTCCTCTGGAGAGACTGGTCTATGGGAGAGACCTGCGGGACCGCCTCGGACTATCTACGCTCGGACTATCTGCGCTCGGACTATCTGCGCTCGGACTCGGACTATCTGTGTTCGGAATATCTGTGTTATCTGTGTTCGGACTATCTGTGCTCGGCCTATCTACGCTCGGACTATCTACGTTCGGACTATCTTTGTTCGGACTATCTGTGTTCGGACTATCTGTGCTCGGACTATCTGTGCTCGGACTATCTGTGCTCGGACTATCTGTGCTCGGACTATCTACGCTCGGACTATCTACGCTCGGCCTATCTACGCTCGGACTATCTACGTTCGGACTATCTGCGCTCGGACTCGGACTATCTGTGTTCGGACTATCTGTGTTCGGACTATCTGTGTTATCTGTGTTCGGACTATCTGTGCTCGGCCTATCTACGCTCGGACTATCTTCGTTCGGACTATCTGCGCTCGGACTCGGACTATCTGTGCTCGGACTATCTGTGCTCGGACTATCTGTGTTCGGACTATGTGTGTTCGGACTATCTGTGCTCGGACTATCAACGCTCGGCCTATCTACGCTCAGCCTATCTACGCTCGGACTATCTACGTTCGGACTATGTGTGTTCGGACTATGTGTGTTCGGACTATGTGTGTTCGGACTATGTGTGTTCGGACTATGTGTGTTCGGATGTGTGTTCCTATCTGTGCTCGGACTATCTGTGCTCGGACTATCAGTGCTCGGACTATCTGTGTTCGGACTATCTGTGTTCGGACTATGTGTTCGGACTATGTGTTCGGACTATCTGTGCTCGGACTATCTGTGCTCGGACTATCTGTGCTCGGACTATCTGTGCTCGGACTATCTGTGCTCGGACTATCTGTGCTCGGACTATCTGTGTTCGGACTATCTGTGTTCGGACTATCTGTGCTCGGACTATCTGTGCTCGGACTATCTGTGCTCGGACTATCTGTGCTCGGACTATCTGTGCTCGGACTATCTGTGCTCGGACTATCTACGCTCGGCCTATCTACGCTCGGCCTATCTACGTTCGGACTATCTACGTTCGGACTATCTGTGCTCGGACTATCTGTGCTCGGACTATGTGTTCGGACTATGTGTTCGGACTATGTGTTCGGACTATGTGTTCGGACTATGTGTTCGGACTATCTGTGCTCGGACTATCTGTGCTCGGACTATCTGTGCTTGGACTATCTACGTTCGGACTATCTACGTTCGGACTATCAACGCTCGGCCTATCTACGCTCGGCCTATCTACGCTCGGACTATCTACGTTCGGACTATCTACGTTCGGACTATCTACGTTCGGACTATCTACGTTCGGACTATCTGCGTTCGGACTATCTGCGTTCGGACTATCTGCGTTCGGACTATCTGCGTTCGGACTATCTGCGTTCGGACTATCTGCGTTCGGACTATCTGCGTTCGGACTATCTGCGTTCGGACTATCTGCGTTCGGACTATCTGCGTTCGGACTATCTGCGTTCGGACTATCTGCGTTCGGACTATCTGCGTTCGGACTATCTGCGTTCGGACTATCTGCGTTCGGACTATCTGCGTTCGGACTATCTGCGTTCGGACTATCTGTGCTCGGCCTATCTACGCTCGGACTATCTACGTTCGGACTATCTACGTTCGGACTATCTGCGTTCGGACTATCTGTGTTCGGACTATCTGTGTTATCTGCGTTCGGACTATCTGTGCTCGGCCTATCTACGCTCGGACTATCTACGCTCGGACTATCTACGTTCGGACTATCTACGCTCGGACTATCTACGTTCGGACTATCTGCGCTCGGACTATCTACGTTCGGACTATCTGCGTTCGGACTATCTGCGTTCGGACTATCTGCGTTCGGACTATCTGCGTTCGGACTATCTGCGTTCGGACTATCTGCGTTCGGACTATCTGCGTTCGGACTATCTGCGTTCGGACTATCTGCGTTCGGACTATCTGCGTTCGGACTATCTGCGTTCGGACTATCTGCGTTCGGACTA